ACGAGCGGTTCAGCCAAACGTTCTAGTATATATTGCTGGTTCACACCCACCCTGCCTGTACGAGCGTGGGGATGTTGGACACTTCATGATACGTTACATCAAACGCTTGGGCGAACTGTACTGCAGGCGATGTGTCAGCATTTCGTTTGTATATGCTTAGATCCCCCCAGGCAAAGGTGGTAGTAGCATTGCAGCCATCGACATTGGAGAGCGCTTCCCTTCTCATAAGGGCTCTGTGCCTTTCCGCGGAGGGAAACGAAGCATATACCTTCCTGACATGTAGAAGTCGTACATGACATCATGCCAAGCCGGGGGATGGGTTCTTCGAGACCTCGTATTCATGTAGAACGGTAGACAAGTACTCACTGAGTAATGGCTGGCAATAGTAGAGGTTTGCAACGACTATATCATGGATGTTAGCACGTGGTCCACCTGAGTCAGAGAAACCGATGTGCGTACTGAATGTACTCGCGAGACCGAACGTGACGTTCATCGCCAGGCCAAAATGTGCGGGATGTTCGGGGTCATACTGCAGCCGCCTCGGTATTGGAAACAACCCGAAGTCCTTCGTCGTGCCTCTCATCTCGGGGACTTTCTCGTTCTGCATGTCATCCGCCTGCGAGCGCGTGGGCGCTGGCAGCGTCGACGAAGTGGACGCGGTGTCGGATCGCTCTACACCTTGTTCCTCAGGCATGGCCGAGATAGTGAGAGTAGCGGGCGAGGAGCAGCGTGCAGGAAGAGTGGGCCGAGTGGCAATCGCAGGCAAGCATGATGTACTCTTGCCTGACGTCGGAAATAGCAACCTCGAGAACAGTCAGCTACTGCGATGCTGCATTTTCTTCTCGCGCGCTCCGACTCGGCATGCCGTCTCCCACGCACTTTTTGGCAACATATCTGCCAGACCTGTTCGAAGGTGGTGGGGTTGCCTCCGCTGTAGTCTCCGTCAGCGACCTTCTCTGTACGAGATGATATGCCCCATGATGACTGGCAGATGGCGCAGCTAGCTACCACGTCCAGCGAAAATACTGATGATCGACCGGAGTCGTTACAGGCTTCAGCAGGCTCTCGCATGGCCGCCACAATCCTTCCCGATCCGAAACGATCTGTGCAATAGGCGCCCATAGAAGTGGCTGCTCTTGATATAACACTTGCTTATTGCCGCCGTGTAGGACATGGGCGAAAGCTTTAGACTCTTCTGTTCTCTCTCTCCTGGCTAAGCTCGATCTGTGAACTCATCACAGGGTGTACATATGTACTCGTACGGCTCATCCTGCAGACCCAGAGGACTCGGCTATGCGGTATAACCGGTCCGGCGTCTGCTGAGCTGACCCCGCAGGGTTCGGGGAACTCGTTTGCCTGCCGGAGGCCGTATGGTCATCAGCTACCCCAGACCCGCACCAATGTCGTCTACTCCTACTCCTACGAGTGTCGCTGTAGCCCACCCGCAAACATGGCGTCGTTACAAGTGAACAACCTCTTCGACGTGAAGGGCAAGGTGGTGCTGGTCACAGGGGGAAGCCGCGGAATTGGGAAGATGGTGCGTCTGCTTGCTTCACGGCGGCCGTGTATATGGAGTTTACCAGGCGTGTCATAGATCGCTACCGGGTTCGTGAAGAATGGCGCCAAGGTGAGCGTTCAGTTTCACTGAATAGTGGACAAACCACTCAAGCCGAGCATGACCAGGTCTACATCTCGTCGCGCTCCGCCAAGGACTGCTCTGCCACCGCGAACGAGCTTAACTCGCTAGGACCTGGACAATGCATCGCGCTCCCGGCGGACATGCAGAAATTCGAAGAGGTGGAGCGACTCGTGAAGGAGCTCGGCGCGCGCGAGAAGGCGCTGCACGTCCTTGTGAACAACGCCGGTGCGGCGTGGGGGGACACCATTGATGACTACCCAGTACGTGCATTCGGACTCGCTGCGCAATCCATATAAACTCGAGGAATCTCCGAATATAGGACTCGGCTTGGACGAAGCTCCTCACGCTGAACCTCCAGCGTGTGTTCACTTTGACGCAGAAGTGTCTCCCCCTCCTCCGGGCCGCGGCGGAGCAGGGTGGGTTGGACCACGGTGTCTATCGCGACCCCGCACGAATCATCAACGTCAGTAAGAAGACTTGCGGTTACATCTCGGCCGTGTTTGCTGAGTCTCCGCGTTGGACAGATCGGGTCCGTCGAGGGTCTTGTGGTGCCCAGCCATGAGACGTACGCGTACTCGGCGTCGAAGGCCGGGCTGCACCATCTCAGCCGTAACCTCGCAGGCCGTCTGGGCTGTGAGGGCATCACAAGCAACACGCTTGCATGCGGTGCGTTATTATATTGTATCATGGTCTGTTCATCATGCTCAACCTTTATTGATATTTAGGTCCGTTCGAGAGCAAGAGTGCGTACGAGCTCCCCCTGCTTCGACCGCTGACTCACCCCCCTCCTTTGCAGTGATGGCCCAGACCCTGCGCGAATACGGCGAGACCATTAAGGCGAGCATCCCGCTCGGCCGCATCGGGACCGTGGAGGACGTCGCTGGCGTGTGCATCTTCCTCGCGAGCCGCGCGGGCGCATGGATCAATGGCGCGACGATCCAGGTGGACGGCGGGAGCGTCGTGCGCATGGGCTTGTCCGCGCCTTCGGCGAAGCTGTAGGAGCACCCCGTGCTCGGTATTGCTCGATCATACGCCATGCCCAACAATACATGACTGTTCCAGCTTGTGTATGCGGGTGTAGCCATGCCATTGGCGATTGTTCCTCGGTCTGAATCACTGACGCCAGAAGAAGGTATATGCGGCGGCAACCGGACACCGTAGGGGATAGTAAATTGCCCCTAACGTGATGGCCGAGGTGAGTCGTCAGCTTCCGGTGTATGCCAACCGATAGACAACAGTACGCAGGTCTGAATCGGTGCGCCTCATCAGGACGCCCAGCGCGCGGCGCACTCCTAGATTGTACGCCGCGCCTGCCGATTTTGATGGCCTTGGGAGAGGCAACGCTGAGTGAGCGCCCCAGCAGTGACCCTATATAAGCACGGTTCCGCCATGCATGGGGACCAAACAGTCCCGTCTCTCAATTTCCCTGTACTACCTATTTCGCCGCGTCGTTGCTGATTTTCTGGCTGTGCCGCCCACCACTCGTCCTTCGGCCTCCTCAAAGGCCCTCTTCTCAGTTGTAGCCAATAGTCGCCACATAGTCCTCGTACGTGTACTCTTCTCCTTTCCGTTGCCGCTGCATATATCCACGTCACTTGAACTACCACAGGACGTCTCAGCGGTATCCTCATCTGGCCTACCCTGAACACGACTGCGATGGCTGCCTTAGTGAATGCCGGCCTGCCAGACAAGTTATGGGACGCCATAATCGACCGCTGCCGTCCTGCGGCGCAGGTCACTCGCATGGAACCTGAGGAGGCTAAGCGGCATGTCTACGAAGCCTACGAAACACTCCGTGCCTGTTCTCTTACCTGTGGCAGCTGGCTGTCCGCGGCCCGCCTCAGCCTATACTCGGCGCCGATACTCATGAACCACTCCTCCGTGCAGAAATTCCTAGCAACCATGCATTCATCCCCGTCCCTGGCGGCGCATGTCCGCTCCTTGGTTGTCATCGAAGGACCGGCCGCGGAGTTCATACCCTTCGCGCGGCGTGAACTCTCCCGGATGCTCGTCAACGTGCGGGAGCTGACTCTCGCTGTCAATTGGGGACTCTATCCTTCCCACTACCGCTCCTTCGTAGGATCGTACGCGATCACCAAGCTGTGTGTACACAGGTTTATCGCAGTGGACCCTCTCCTGCGCCTTGTCAGGGCATTGCATAGGCTCGAGGAATTGCAATTGGAGCCGCCACATGGGCCTGATGCGACCCACTGCGCTACTCCTCCTCAGGTCTTGCGTACTACATCCAGTCAGGACAATACGCCGAGTATTCGTCCTTCCGTGCTCAGGACTCTCACTGTTGGGGTAATAGCTCGCTTGATTGCAGGAGTTAGGCTGATGCTAACGAAGAGCTTCTCGTGACTCCCGCCACAGGCAGTATACGCCGCACGCGCTGATTTCACACCCAGACTCAAGGCCCTCGGCGAATCTGTAGAAGAGCTTGTTGTGGGCTGGGAGCCCTCAATATCTGCGGAATGTATGTGTTTTTCTGAGAGCATCTTGTATTGCAGCGCTCTGACCCGCAGCTGTTCTGTAGCGCTCAATGCCTTGCTCGAGTACATTGCGAACAACCATTCATTGAAGAAGCTCGTCTTGTCCTTCCAGGCGCCAAGTCCCTCTACGATTACTGAATACGCATCGTCTCCTGAAGGCTGGCTCCAGTCGGCGTCCGCGTGGATCATATCGGTCATTCAGGTTACCTGGCAGAGCCATGCTCAACTGAATGTGATATGCCTACGTTTCTCGCAACGCGGGGACGGTCGACTCAAGCTGCCGATATTCCGCGACCTCATAGTTCAGCTTCTACGAACGGCTGTGGAGGAAGCTCCGTCTGGCCAGCAAGCGTTCGATCGCTTCCCTCTGGAACCGCCCATCGTGTCCGAAACACCGGAATGGTGGCAAGCAGAGCTTCGAAGGCCGCTACCGAGGCCGAGGGTGGGTAATATTGAGCTCGAATTATGATTTTGACTCGATGTGAGTCCTTGCCTCCACTGTACCTCACCCTGTCAACGTACTGAGGAAGTCCCTGCTATCTCATCTCTTATGCTCTCTTACCCGATCAGGACCGGGGGAGTCTACGGGCTTAGTTGTGGTTTTCGGAGGGTAGAGCCCAGTTTGTCGACAATCCTTCGCTCTCCAGGCCTACTTCAACCTCAAACAAACTTGAACCGGCTGCTGCAGATCAGTCGGATTTCTCTGATGCATATAATCGTTGTACTTCACAGACCACGGTGTCATTCTGCAGAATGCCAGCACCGCTCCTCACATACACATGCGCCCCGATGTTTCAGAGCAGCAGATAACAGAGCTTGAGTACAACATGAGCCAGTGGCGGTGACTTGAAGCAGGTTCAAAAGAAAAACGACACCAGCAGGATTCGAACCTGCGCTCCCGAAGGGAAACAGATATCTAACGCTAAATTGTTCGAATCTGTCGCCGTAACCACTTGGCTATGATGTCATAGGCGTCTTCCGCCAGGCTGCTCACCACACGTGCCTGAGACTGAAGCGGTTCTTTCCTTTCCTTCGAGCTCGCCGAGTTATCCGGCTTGCTCGTCGTTCTCGTCCGCTCCTCCTCCGCTCAGTCACAGGTTCTGGTGATATTCCCCGAACTTTTCATCGTACGAGTCTGAGTGACCGAGGTCCAGCTCGCTTTCTTCCTGTGGCTTGTCGATTGACCGCAACGCTCCTGTTGCCTGGATCGCGCCGGTCGAGATGAGCCCGGAACCTGGCCGGATGGCGGCTGCAGGTCCGTATAAATGGTCCCCACCCTGCCTCCAGACATTCACACAACCTCTCGTTCATCATGGCGGCCCAGTCAGACGTCCCTATGCGACAGCGCGTCGAGGAGTACATCTCCAAACTGCAGGATGACATCGTGGCCGCGCTAGAAAACCTCGATCCGAACGCGCCCAAGTTCAAGCGGGATTCCTGGCTCCGCGCGCAGGGCGGACGAGGACTCTCGTGCGTATTCGCCGCTCCGGTACCCCCGCCGGGTGTCGCGCCGCAGGAGACGGTGCTCGAGAAGGGCGGCGTCAACATTTCGGTCGTGCATGGCATGCTGCCGCCACCTGCCATCAAGCAGATGCGGGCGGACCACTCCTCCATCCCCGACATTCAGTCCAGCGTCCCCTTCTTTGCCGCCGGAATCAGCCTTGTCATTCACCCCCGTAACCCGCACGCGCCGACCGTTCACGCCAACTATCGATACTTCGAGATCACCGAGCAGCCAACAGAAGAGGAGCAGGCCGCGGGGAAGCCGGGCAAGCTCATCGCGTGGTGGTTCGGGGGCGGCTCCGATCTCACGCCTTCATACCTCTACGAGGAGGACGCCCAGCACTTCCATCGCACGATCAAGAACGCATGCGACCCGCACGGCGCGGCGGTGTACCCGACGTTCAAGAAGTGGTGCGACGAGTACTTCTTCATCCCGCACCGCGGCGAGGCGCGCGGCATCGGCGGCATCTTCTTCGACGACCTCTGCGAGGAGCCGCACAAACGTTTCGGGGCGGACGACGCGCGGCCGAAGACCCCGGAGGAGATCTTCGCGTTTGTGAAGGCGGCGGGCGACGCGTTTGTGCCGTCGTACGTCCCGATCCTCGAGCGCCGCATACGCACGCCGAGCGACGAGCACGAGCGCCGATGGCAGCTCCTGCGACGTGGCCGATACGTGGAATTCAACCTGGTGTACGACCGTGGGACGAAGTTCGGGCTGATGACCCCTGGCGCGCGGATAGAGAGCATCCTGATGAGTCTGCCGGAGACTGCGCGGTGGGAATACATGAGCGAGCTGGGAACGGATCCCGAGACGAGGGAAGGGAAGCTGGTCGAGGTGCTCAAGACCGCCCGGGAGTGGGTATGAAGGGTGTGAGAGGTGGCGAAGGAAGTCCAATGTGAGTGTCGCAGACGCGTGTGAACATGTTCATTCGCTGATTGTGTGTAGATTTATGTACATTAGAGGTAGTCCAGGGTACGACGTCCTAGATGAATACGGACTGGTATGTACCAGCAACACCGCTCTGTATACTCCCATTCTTGGTTGCCTCGCGCGTGCTAGTGACTGCAGATGCCGAAAGGGTTGGCGGTACGACAAACACCGTCCGGATGGGATTGTACCGCTCAAGTCTGAAGATGTGCTGGAAAGCTGTTTCGCCGAAGGTTTCTCTTCGTGAGCAGACGCACAGCCTCGAGGCTCGAAGCCTGCTTGCCCCGCGTGGCCACAGCCTCCTCACGAACCGCCCCCACCACGTTCTCAATCAGGTATGTTTATACAGCACCCGGCTGACTAACTCATTCGCGGACCCGAAAGAATCAAGTACGGCCACGAGAGCTGCTTCAGCGCTCGCTGTCGGCTCCAACAAGAGAACAACGACAGACACGCTTTACAAATGCCTTCCCTTCATCTGCCCATCTCGCCACAAAAGGTGAAAACACAATGAGGGCAGTGCATATGTGGCGACAGCCTCAACCTACGTAGGCCAGGTTGAGCGCTCCGGCAGATTTATATTGTGGAGACGTTCACGACATGAGTATTCACCTAGGATCCGACCCCTACTGCTACTACTTGGAGACACTAGCATGCCACCGGAATCGACGCCCATCTGTGAGTGAACACGCTGCCGTAGACGCCTCGTACTGAGAAGTGTGTTCGCTCCTATACCTGCCGAAGTCGACATGACTCTTGGCCGGGAGCCCCTCTGGCACGCAGGGTCGTGGGCCCTCAAGCGGCTCAGCCCAAACGAAATCTTGATCGAACGCTGGGAAACGAGGACCTTCGTCGAAGGACCACTGGACTTGATGCAAGTTGTCACGCACTCGTGGTTTTTGGGCCTAACGCACCTCAATCTGTCCCTGGATAGCATGGATGCACGAGAGTACCACGGGCATCGTCTCTATCTTTCTTGGTCCGCAACGAATGCGGGGACTCCGCTGAACGCCGCCACAGAGTTGGAAATTGTCCAGCTGTGCCAATATCTTCGCAGAACCCTGGTCAGCCTAACTATCAGTATGTGCAAGCCGGAGCTGGTCGTGCCACACATACCACGTCTGGTGTATGACATCGTGGACGGTTGTCCCGAACTGCAGTACCTCATGGTGCGGGACATCCAGTGTGATGAGCTAGTCGGGTGCCTCCCTACTGTACGTCTCCTCGTCGTTGGTCACCTTCTTTCGTAGCTGAGGTCTACTTGGCGTTAAACCCAGGTTGGTGGTGACCATGGTCAGCTAGCAGACATGGGAGGCTCTCTACGGCGGGACGGGCGCACGATGCGCAATGCATCAAGACTGCATCACTTAGTTATTGGCAAGCGTAGCTTAAGATCTGACAAAGGTGCATACTTGAGATACGTGGTGAGGGTAAGCCAATCCTATGCGCCGCTCTTCTGTGTTAGCTGAATTAAAGGGGGTTCGCCAGATGCCCAGTCCGACTCAGGAGGCTGTCATCTGTAACGAGCGTTTCAAGCGGCCTGAACGCATCGATCTGGGTCAACGGTCCATGATGGTGCGCGAGGCAGGCTATCTTGCAGGTCTCATAATCAGGGACTTTCCGTCTCTGCAGCATGCGGATGTGATCCTCGGCCGGGAGAGCGACCTCAGCTTCCGCATGGCGAGATTTCAGTGACAACCCGAGGACAAACCAGCCCTTCTGACAAGGCTCGCACTAGCTTGCGGTTAACAATTGGCTGGGCGGACTCGAGCTCTCGACGCGCGTCGGGACACACTCTTGAACTCTCTGCTTCCCAATAGAGAGACTCGCGAGTACGGAGTCTCGTAGCTCATAGGTCAGGCAGCAAGGTTCAGTCCTTGCAGTACTCTTATCTGGTTCTGGACATCGGGAAGACACATCCGCATGACTATCGTGAATCGCTCGACCTCGCTGTATTGTAGCCATGACAACGTACAAGCCTTTATGGAGCTGGCCAATGATACCTGCATGCATCCACGTTCTGCGCGGTCCGTATTTGTATGCGTCGCCACTACTCACCATGATGAAGAGCGGCGCCGAATGTTGAACAGTGCTGGTGCTTCTGAGAGTGCCGCATGGATGCTTCCTTTGTTTTCTCTGAAGAAGATGCCCTTCACGACAGGTTGTCCGACCTCCACATCTCCGACCTCCACAATAGACTACTCATTGTAACTCGTGCTCGAAATGATCTGCGCACGTCGATGCCATTGTGAAGCCGCTCCGGGAGCTCGAGGACAAAACGACCACCGAATACATAAACCCGGCAGTGATCGCTACCCTGGAAGCATCAGCGCTCAGCCCTGCTGTTGGTCCTCCGAACAGTGCTCTACGCGAATCGTCTAGGACCGTGGAACTATGGTCACCATCTTCGGTGAGCCTTACACATAGATCTATGATTGTTCCTACTCAAAGACCCTTCCCAGAACATGGTCGTCAGCAGGCTTCGCCTCCCAGTACACTTGACGTCGTGGCTCCGAGTGACTACGAGGTCAGGGAGCCATCGTCGGAACCATCGACGGAGAGGCAGGTCGTCGTCAGAGCGTCTCCACCGTACGATTCGAGCGACGACAGCGACAACAGCAATGACTCGCTCTGGTCGATTCATCTCTACGATTTGGGTTCGGGCGGCTCGATAGATTACTACCGCGCTGAGAGCATCGACATCAACCTAACAGAGGAGCCCGAGGGTGACGATGAACCCGCACCTCGCCACTGCCAACACTGGGACATCTACCAATGTGGATCGCGGCCTTACCTATCCAACAGACTTGCGTGGGCCCTCGTTCGGAATACAGTCGGCGATGGGTACATCATCCAACGTTGGGTGGAACAATTGCACGCCGGTCTCGCACTCCGGTTCCGGAACTCGGTCCCACAGAACGTCTGGATGAACCTGACAAGGCTGAAGCTCCAGCTCGACGACCGCCGCGAGGGCGACGAGCATGGACACGCCCTCTTCACCGGGCGGAATCTGCGCAAGAGCTATCCCAATCACACTACTGAACGCGAGATTATGGCTGTTTGCAGGTACCTTGGAGATCGTCTCGTTGGGCTGAGCGTTGTGATGTGTTTGCCTGAGCTCGTGGTGCCACACGTCCCGCGGTTAGTGCATGGCATCATCCGCAATTGCCCAAAGCTGCGCACCCTGGGGATCGAAGACCTTCAATGCGAGTACTTCCGTCCAAACGTGGTGCGATTCTGACATACCTGTGGTCGTGTCGAGACAGTTGCTGAGAGCTTCATAGTTCCCAGAGTTCTTCTACTTGGCCGCTGCAGTTGAGAACGACAGACCGAGTGACGAACGCCTGGTAACGCCTGCTTCGCAGCTGCATACTCTGATTCTGGCGAAGAGGAGCATATCTCCCTGGGCAGACGAGTACAACGCATCGGGAATGGCACAAGCATTTCAGGAGGTACGCAAGCTCCGTCAGTAGAGCTGGCGTTCTCGCGCTGACAATACCTTCTCCAGCGTCTGGTTACGAGCACAGTTCCACAAC